TTGGGTGTGTTTGTTTTTCTGTTTTGTTTTTTGGGGGGAGGGAGGGGGGTGTGTTGTTCAGTGATCTGAACTAGTTTTGTTTGCTATTAAAAAAAAATACGGTTACCTCAGCAGATTTTGGGTGGAATATGCATCACATGTTTAAAACTGAGCAGTGAGTAAAGAGGTGGTGTGGGGTCCAGAGCTTGTTAAGAAATGAGATTGTCTTGTCACAGGGTGTCACCTGGCCACCAAACCCCGTGGAAAAGTCAGGGAAGTGGGCAGGGGCTGGATAGGCACAGAAGGGTAGTGGGAGAGGGTCTGAAGATGCAGTGCAATTGAACCCAGCTCTCATGCTTGAAAGTCCTCGAAATTTCAACCAATTCTTTTTTCCCCCTATTTTTTTTCCTCCCTCCCCAATCCTCTCCCAGTGTGAGCTTTTATTTGTCTAGCGTCACCCCAAGCTCTGCGGTTGAGTGATCAGTTTGTTGAGTTCCTGGGTCCAGTTTCATTTACCTCTTTCTCTAGTTTGGGGAGCTTAATGAGTGTGAAATGGGGTGGCTCATCAACACCAAATTTCTGTTGCAAATGATGCCTTTCAGCCCATCCTTGCACAATCCCCAGGCTGCCACCTTTCCCTGGTCTGCTGCAGCTCCAGTGGGGAGAGCCCCAGGTCCCAGGCCGTGGGTGCAGCTCCTCAGCAGAGCTCAGCTGTTATCTTTTGTCTTTCTTCTGTCCATCCCTCTCTTTGCAGTCCTGAGAACTGTGTATTTCAAGTGCAGATAACAGATCTGGGGCCCAGATCAACTCCCAAGTTCTGAATGGGTGTTTAGAAATAATGGTCTGTTCTTTTTTTTATTATTATTATTGTTGTTGTTATTGTTGTTATTATTATTATTACTACTATTTAATGTTACTTTTTGCCTCGGGGTCCATTTCTTCCCCATTCCCACGTCCCAAATTGCCACCAAGGCAGGGAATTTGCTTTGCACACCCTTGCTGATGCCCCGTTCCTCTGGCCTTGGTGCAGCTCAGTGGAGAGCGGTGCTAGAGTGTCCTGCAGCTGCCAGCACAGAGATTCAGGCCCCTTAAAAGTGATTTATTTTTAAAGAAATGCAGAAGAATCAAAGCACTGCTAATGCTTAGCAACCTCATGTCCTAGCCTGTCTTTTTGCTCGGAGTTTTAAGTCGCGTTAGCTTTAAAAGGGGTTGTTGATCTTACAGAGTTTCTTAGCTTACAGTACGGCAAACAGCGTCCCTAAAGTGCCCCCAAACCTCACTGGCCTGGAATGGGAACGTGGCTTTGCTGGTTCTGGTGGGTGGAAGGATGGGTTTCATTTGGGGCTGACACTGGTCAGACACGTGTTCCCTTCACAACCCTTGGTTACACTGGTTTGAAGACTCAGCTTTACTAATCCAGCGTGTTGTTTCCATGAGTGTTACAAAATTCATTCTGTCTTAAGTGGGGTCTAAGGAAATCCAATTGCTTTCTGGAGAATCACCCTTTTGTATGTCTATCGAATTATAAAATTGCACTAACTGCTATATTAAAAAAATCAAGAAATCAAAGCCCAATGTTTTTCCTAAGGATTGGGAAAAGACTGAATCAGATGTGTAGCATTAACAGTGCTAGGCCAGAACAGAATGAATTTTAATCTCTTCTGTCTCTGAACTGCTCAGAGATATTCTGTGTACAACACAAATCTACAACAAAAGAAAAAAAACAAAAAGAAGTTTTCCAGAAACTGCGCTTCAAATTTTTGCTGTACTATAGAAGCTCATGAAGGACAACATTAAAGTCCTAATTTGCCTGCCTTATAGACACATTTCATTGTATTAATATTTTCTTAAACTTCCAGTTGCATTGTGTTGGCTTTGGAGTTTGTTATAGGCAGTCCTGTATCCTGAGTTCTGTTCAATTTAAACTTATGTAAACTATTGACAGCACATGCAATGCAGTACTTATCTATATTTTGCTGTTTTAGTATGAATATGTACTCTGATGCCAATTTACAAAAATCTGTTGTAAACGCTTCTTGTGTACCAGTAACCAATAGTGGCAATTATATGTCATTCTAAAAGCTGCAATACTTATACAATAAATTTTACAATACTTTGGAAAATTTGCCTTCACCTTTTGCTTTGTTACCCAAAAAAAACCCCCAACAACAAAAGAAAAAAAAAACAAAACGAAAAAGCAGAGTTTGTCAACACAATGTAATTTCAGTTTTCCTATTTTCTTATGAATGTTGGAAAATGAATCTGCTCAGTTTTGGATATTTGTGTGGGTTCCCCCTTCCTCGTTGTGGAGCACAGCCCCAGCTCTGTCCCCGGGGAGCTGTAGCTGGTTCCTGGTGCATTTCCCTGCTCCCTGTGTGTGTGTGCACGTAGAGCTGTTTCCTTTGGAGCAGGTCAGGTGCACCTACAGCTGTTTCCTTTGGAGCAGATCGGGTGGCCCAGCTCCAAGCCCAGAAGAAGCATTCCTGGTTTGCACCACTGTCCTACACACGGTCCTGCCTTTCAGCTGAGAACATCACTGATGGTCAGAAGGTCTTAACTTCAATAACGTCAGTCAACAAGAGCTGCACAGATTGACTCAAATCCTAAGCACAGAGAATTTGTGTGACTTTTTTTTTTTTTTTGCCTTTCTGAAACTGTGGTCAGATTGCAGTGATCACATTAAAGCGATTGAAAACTTGACTGTTTGCAGGGGGTTTTCTTTTGTGTGTCTGAAGGATGGATGTCCTGTAGATTCACCCAGAGCTCAGGTTTCTCCCTGGGGCTAAGAGATGTGCAGTCATTAATCCCTGGGGTTTGCTGCCAGCTCTGCCCAAGCCCTTGGTCTCTCCAGCCCTGCTCTCTGGCTGGTCACAAACGTGTAATTCAGGTGGCAGCACTGTCAAAAGTGTAAAAAAAGTTAAAAGTGGCCCCTGGTTTGACAAGCAGCTGCTCAGCTGCTGTGGATGGGTTAGTGGTGGACACTTGGCTTTGATTTGGGCACGAGGAGCTCCTGTGGGTTTCAGCAGGATGCTGGGGTGCTCTGCCTGTCCAGTTATTTGCAGCACAGCCCCAGGCTGATGGTCAGCTGGGAGAATATCTCTGGGAAGGAATGAAAGCAGCTCAATTGCAGCCCGGGGAGGAGAACTGCAAACCCATCCCTCTGGCTCTGATTCTGGATCTGAGCCACTCACCTCCTGGTTGAGGTTTGTTTGTGGGATTCCTGGTGTCCTCTCTGCATTGCTGCTGGAAAGACAGCCCAGGCTGGTGCAGTGCTGGAAAGCAGCTGGCCTTGGTTGGAACACTTTTCCCTGTGGTAGGAAGTCAGATGATTCTAGGGCTGTGCCAATGCTGTGACCCCAGTGCTGGCTTGAGCAGCTCCAAACCCTCCTTCCCACCTTGTGCCCAAAGAAACACCAAAACACAAAATTTCTGAGAGCTGGCAATGCCCCTGCCCCAACCCCAGGATCACAAATATCCAAGTGGAATGAATACATCCACCTTGCCCCAGGCATGGTGAGGCAGGGAAAGGGCAGGATTTGGTTCGAATCGCTGTTTCGAAATTACATTTTTGGAATCACAGCTGAAACCAACATCTTCCCACAGAAAAAGAGAACTCAGCTGAAACCACATTTTCCAAAAGGGAATTTTTCTAAATTACAAAAAAAAAAAAGGAATCAAGTTCAACCAGTGCAGTGTGTGGGAATGGGCAGAGGTAGCTGTTACTTAGCTACCTTTCCATGTCTGCTGGGGAGATCTGGGGACACTGCAGCGCCACTCATTGACAAAAGATTATTTTTTAATGCTTGGGTTTTGGTCGGATTTTTTTTTTTTTTTTTTTTTCAGTTCAATGGAAGAAACAATTCTGTGACTTTTGGAAACCACAGGTGGCAAAGCCTTTGCTTTTAAACAGATTTCTGTGCTGCAAGTGGAATGGAAGTTAAGAAATCAGGTTCAGATTTTCCCTGTGCTTCCAGCACTGAAGCACTTCTTGCAGCTCTTGTGGGCCTCCATGGTGCACTGGCTGGAAGGTGCAAATTCCAACTGCAGAGAATTTAAAACAATTTTTTTTTTTTTCTTCTCTTTTGTCTCCATATTTTCCCTGTTTGTCCTGATCCAGCTCTTCCTCTCTGCTGCTGCCTCCCTGCCATCCTCGGGGTCCTGTCCATCCTGCTCCTGCTCTCCTGGCAGGTGATTCATTGCTCAGGCTCATGCCTGTGTTTAATCTGGTTTGTGCCTTCAGGGCACCAAGCAAAGCCCCTTTGGGGCTTGTCCAGCTCTGGTGCTCAGGGATGGTCCCATCACTGATTCCCTCCCAGGAAGGACAGGGATGACCTGGAGTGCTTTGGGGAGTGAAACCTGGCATCAGCCTCTTGCTTTTTTTGCTTTTTAGCCTGCTCAAGCTGCATTTCCCTGGGTTGATTTATTGGGGTTTTCCCCTCCATGCTGTGCAGGCAGAGCCCTGTCTCACCACTGAGGGAGGGGAAGCCTTGACCAGGGACAGAAACCCTGAGTAAAGTGGCTGGAACAGATTCTCCCTGCAGTGATGGCTTTCACTGAGGTTTGGTAAGAAAGCAACGTGCTCTCACGGGGATCCTGCTCTTGACTCTCCCAACTGCAATGGGAATTTACTCCAAACACTTGCTGCTATCCCTTAAAATAAAAAAAGTTAATAAATTCCAATTGCTTTGGCATACAACAGGGCTGTGTAACAGTAGCAAAAACAAAAGAGCAGACAAGAGAGAAGAAGAAATAATTACTGTCCTACTGCCCAAGGGTCCCTTCATTTGAGGTCTGATGGGGTCAAAACTGATTCCCCCTCCCTCTTCCCTGCTCAGGAGCCCTGCAGACAGCTCTCCCCTCTCCTTGGAACAACAGGGCCTTTGCTCAGGGCCAGGCAGGAGGGCAGCTGGCCCAGGTGGGGGATGTGGCCCAGGTGGGCACAATTTTGCCATGGCCCAGGAGGCAAATTTAAGCAGCTCCAGGGAAGGTGGAGATTTGTTCTGAGGGTTTTTCTGCTCTTCTGGAGAGTCAGAGCTACAGGAGGTTTTGCAGAGTCTTTCCTGACCAGGTTTCTGAAGCTGCCTGGATGATATGAAGAAAAGATAAACCCTCTGAAACAGCAGCCACCTTTTTTGAGTTGAGATTGGAATTTAAGGCATTTTTTAGGGTACACAAAAGTGGGTTTCAGGCTGTCCTGGGGCCATGCTCTGCCAGAGCTGTAGGTGTGCTTTTTCTTGCTCTGTGGCTGAAGCCCATTGATCATGGCAGCTCCAGGCCCCCTTCCCTTCTGCCTTGTGCCCTGGGGAGCCTGTCCTGGCTGAGCAGGGCTTGCTGGCTGCTGGAGACTATCCTGCCCAGCAGGTCAGGCTGGTGGCTGCAGCACTTTGGAGATTTGTCCCTGTCCTCTGCCCACGGAGAGCCTGTTGTCAGGTAAGACTGAAAGGTGCATAAATGAAGTTTAGAGCTTTGGCTGAGCAGACTGCACTTGGCAGGGGAGAGGTGACACGGAGCCCTCCATGCAGTGAGCTTGGGGTGGGGTTTGCAATGCAGAAATGGGGGAGAGCATTCAGTGCAGGACTCATCACTTGTCAGCTCCCCGTGGGTATTCATTCGCCCCTTGCTCAGCCCTGAATCACTTCAAATGCACATGGTTGCCTTGGGATTGATTGTTATCAGCAGCAATAAATCACAATCACAGCAGCCAGTGGTGAGTTTTGGATGCCAGTCAAAATGCAGCTCCTCAGAGTATTTATCTCTGCAGAGGCAGGGAACCTGGACACTGAACAATTAGATCAGCGTGGCTCTGTGAAGCTGCATTTGATTAAGAGAGAAATTGCAGTACAAAGTTATTGCTTGGTGCTGCTGTGCATTGCTAATAAGCAGCCTGGCTTTAAAAACAGAGAGGCTGGAGATGGGAGCACAAAACCCCTCTGAGCATGGTGTCCAAGCAGCAGCAGCATCCCCCTGTCCCTCCTGCTGTGGCCTCGCTGCTGCTCGGGCACAGAAAGGAGGCAGGAGCTGCCCTTGGCCACCAGGAGTGTGCACAGATGTCCTCTCTTCTCATTCTCACTCTTCCTCATGCCACTGGAGCTGCTTCAGAGGCCTTTAGGATGGGCACAGAGCTGTGGGCAGGGCACGGGGCAGTGTCCGTGTGTCCCAGGCAGTCCCTGCAGTGTCACAGCTGGCAATTCCCAGTTTGCCACTCTCTGTTCCCAGCAAGGGATGGGAACAAGCTGGGCTTGGCCACAGCTCCTGCTCCAAGACAGCACCACTGAACCCACATCTCCAGGAGCAGAGCAGCCAGCTGCCTTTCTGCACGAGGCCTTCACACATTTCTGCTCTTTGGGCCCATTAGGGTGGGAGTTGAGCATCCTAAACACTCCAGCTCTAAAACAGTCATGCAAGCACCCAGTCCTGCAAGACCAGCCCCTTCTGGGTGCTTGGTTTTGGGGAGGGTCTCTGCAGGTCTGGGGTGAGCAGCAGAGCTGTGTGAGGAGGGAGCTGGGTTAGGTTTAACTTGGGGTCAGTGCACACCAGGTGATTTCCCAGGGAGGGTGATGGGCTTCATGCACAGCTTTGTTCCACACAATTTATTAATGTGCACACACAGATTTATTTTTTTTTCTCCCTTGGATCTCAAACCCAGGCTCTGCAAGGTTCAGATGAGCAGAACCAGGGTAACAAACAAATGTTGAATGACCCTGGTGGGCCCCACTGCCTATCTCATCTCTGTTTTTCTCTTGAGAGCTGCTGCTCCTCCCTGCTCTGCTAAGCAGGTCTGTTGATTTTCCTTCCTGAGGAGGAAAGCCTGAGGTTCTCCAAGAGCCTGGCCCTCGTGCTCTCCCTCCCCACTCCCAGGGCAGCCCTTCTGTGGGCCTGGAGGAGCTGAGCTAAATATAAGCTGTGGAGGGGAAAACAGGGGGAGTTGGAGGAGGTTGAATGAGAGGATCTGTTTATTTTCCCTCTGATCTCTGAGCCCTGTTATGTTTTATTGCTTTACAAACAGGAGGTCTGGAACACTTCCTTCCCTCCTGTGCCAGTGCAAGGTCAGCTGGGTGCATAATGCCTGCACTTGAAGGAAAAAATACCAACTATTTACAGTAATGCTGTACGAGTGGCATGAAACTGGAACTACTTACTTTCTCCAGGCCAGGTTTTACTGTAAATGCCCAAATAAGCTATTTATATAAACAATTTCTGTGTATTTGCACGTCCACCCCACTGCTGAGAATTTATAGCTGATGAGTAACCTGTGTCAGAAGAGCAACTTTGATTGCAGAAAACCCCTCTGGAAGGTGGTGCAGGCAGGTGCTTTATGTGCAGAGGATCTCAAGGAAGGTGAGGCACCTCCAGCACGTTTGTTCCTTCCCTCTGCAGGAGGATGTGGTGCCCACAGCCTGGCAATGCTTCAAAAGAAACCCATTTTGGGGTGTGTGGTGTTTGAGTGGCTGTGTCAGAGAGCAAAGGGGCAGGACCAAGGAATGTAACTGAGATTCTTCATGCTGTAGAAAAGGCTGGTGTGAGGCAAGGCTTTAAGGAAGCAGACTAACTCAAAAAAATGTGTTCAGGTTTACTCAGCTCTCCCCATTCATCAGAACATGCCCAAGTCCTCAGTGAGGTTTCAGCTCAGAACAGAGATCTGGGACTGAGTCATGAGCGAGTGTAACTGCTTGTGAGTAATTGCTGGAGCCAAATGTCAGCTTGGAAAATGGGCTTCATCTCTTCTCTCAAAGTTCTGGTTTATGGGAAAAGGCAGTGGTTCTCCTTTCAGTTCCCTGTGTGGGTAAAGCACAGCCACGAGTTGCTGCTGTGGGTGGGAGTTTGGCACCCCAGGACATTCTCCCTGCTGCTTTCTGTCCCTGTCCTCAGCTGCTGCACTGGCTTTAGGCCTTGGGCAAATGGGACAAATGGCATCCAGCACAGGTACAGGTTGCTTCTAAAGAAATGCTGCATTATCAGCCTTACACAGAGAAATTCCTGCCTGAACCTGAGGCACTGCACCCTGCTGTCCTCCATCCCCACCTGGCTCCCTGTTAGCCCAGGACTCGCCCATGCCTTGAGGGCCAAGGTTCAGCTGCACAAACAGCCCCAGCCCTGTCCCCCAGGGCACCCCAAGGTTTTCCTGGCAAACCCAGTGCTGACACTTCCACCACTGTGATCCCCAGCCTGCCCTTCCTGGGTATTGCAATTTCTTCTCCAGATCTGGCTGAGATACAGGGTGACAGGCTAGAACTGGAGTGGAATCAAAATTGCATTTTAATTGTAAACATTTGTCCAGAAATTAATGTTTCTGAACTAATGTTTCTCTCCGACCAGTGTGTTCAGAAACAAATGACTCTCACTAATTGATGTTCCCTGAATTGTACACGTAGAAATTCAACCATGCATAATTGAAAATCCCCCTCTTTCAGCAGGTATCCATATAATCACTCAACTGATGTGTTTGCTTGTCCTCTGGCAGATGTCACCTAGGACTCACATGGCTGGCTGGAGGGGGCTAATTTCTCCAATTTTTGTTCCTTGTGTTGGATTAAACATTGAAAATCACTATAAACAGGCTTCCATATCTAATAAATTTGCTCATAATCCCAAACATGTACCTATGAGGGAATGTTACTGATGCCTTCCTCCTTTGGAAAGGTGTATTTTATACCTTCACACCTCGGAGGTCAGTAATCCCATTTGTCCCAGTGTATAAAACAGTGCTGAGCACCTTTCAGGAGCCTTTCAGCAGCTGATGCACGGCTCCTCTGCAGTGGGGGCAGAAGGGACTTGGCTCTGAAACTGGGCTCTGCTGTGCCCAACCAAGAGCCTCAAATCCCCAGGACCCCCCCAGGGAACTGACAGCCCCAGGGAGCAGGAACAGAGCAGAGAAGTGAGTGTAAAATCACTTTGAGTGAAAGGAAGGCTGTGATTCACTGCTTGGTGCAAGAGGCAGGTGAGATCTTGCCCTGCTGCAAGCCAGCTCCTGGGGGTGACAGCAGATTCCAGGAGGGTGAGCAGCAAGTCCTGCACGCAGCTGCTGGAAATGGGTGTGCTTTAGGGGAGCTGTGGGGTTGGTATCAATCAATTTTGCCTGCTCCAGTAACAGCCACAATGGGTCCCAGCAGGGCTTTACAGGAGTTTCCCTGGGGTGCTCTGACCTCTGTTGCCATCAGCCTTAACAGGCAAAACTAATCAAGGTCTGTTCAAAAGTAATTTTGCATCACAGCATCTGTTGAGGAGCAGATAATCAGGTTTTATTTATTTATTTGTTTGTTAATAAAGCTGTATAACAAAGGATTTCATCATTCCAGTGATATTGAATGTAATGTGCTTGCAATAATTAATGCCACCGCTAATGGAGGATTGGAATTTTGCCTTAATTATATCATTAAGGCACATTTCATGCATTTAATTGTTTTTGTAAGATGACAGCCAACCTCTCCTGCCTCATATTTCCCATTTCCAGATTCAATTGCTTCCCATGCAAGGGCAACCTGCTAGTAATGGCCTCTCACAGATTTTGCTTTCCAGGGGAAATCAAGTGGGTTTTGGTTAGATATGCCAATACTTTTCAGGTTAGCAAAGCTTTTACGTGTTGTTTGTCAATGTTAGTGATGAACAGATGCACTGAACTCTCCCTCCCTCCTTGCTGGCCTGGATTTAATGAAAAATAGGGGTGGGGGGAAGGGGAAAATGTGTCAAGACAGAACAAGAAGGTTAAAAATCAGTCACAGGCTTTATCACATGCCTTGCTGCACCTGTGGGAGGTTAAGTTTGGGTAAAACACGTCATGTCTGATCCAAAATCAGGAGTCTTGGAATCTGCAACTGCAGCCTCAGAGGGGAGGATGCTGTGATCATTCTCATGGGACACCAGCAGTCAGGAGGCTCAGGGCCCTGTGCAAACTTTCCTGCTTGTTCTTTGGAACTAAGTTTGTGTCTGTAAGGCCAGAATCAGTCACCCAGCAAGCCCAGGTTCCTGGAGAGGCATCTCAGAGGAGTGAGGTGAATTAGTGAGGTTCATTGTGCTCCAAACCAGGACCCAGAGCCCTTGGCTTGGTGGTGCACAGGGGCTCGTTTGGGATGAGTAAATACAGTTTGCACTGGACAGGAATTTGTAGTTATGTCTGCAGCTCCCAGCTGCTCAGGGGGATGGGAGTGGTGTGTTTCTCTGGTTTGTGCCTTCTCTGACTGCAGCTCTTTCCCGAATCTGTAAACATTGCTGCATAACTACACAAAGGCACAATTCAGGGCGAGGATGGTAGGAAAGGGGAAGCTCTGCTGCAATACAGAAAATATGAAGTTGCCTTGAGGGTAATCACTGCTGGATTTTGGACCATCTGAGCTAAGCCAAAACCTGCCCAAATGCCATCCAGGTGGCAAAGCCAGCAGCCCCCAGTTGGAATGTCACAAAAAGCAGGTAAAGCAAGTGGAGGAATGCGAGTGGATTGTGCAGACAACAGAGTGGGAGCTCCCATGGCAGGAAGCAGACCCAGCAACTGGTGAATACTTTGAAAACCTTTCCAAGTTGTTCCTGCAGCACTGAGTGTGGGAAGCATTTGGGAGCAGGCTTTTGTTCCCAGGCTGTGACCATGCTGCCTACTCGACCTCAATTAGTTCAGTTTGGAGCCCAGGGGGAATGAAGCCAACTGTGCTTTCCTTCTCTTCTTCCTTCCCATCCTTTCTTGCTCGGTGTATGAAAGAGCTGAAGCTTGGCCAAGGCACAAACCCCATCCAGCCCTTGCTGGGATCTGCAGGAGAGGTGGAGGAGCCCTGTGGGTTGTGAGGACACAGAGAGGAATCCCTCACCAGAAATGTCCTGCACTTCTGCTTTGCCACTGGCCTGCTGGAAAGCTCTCACTTATCCTGAAAGTGATGAGGGACATTCAGGCACCACGTCCTGGTTGCATGAAGCCCACTGGGGAAAATAACTGAGACACAGACACAAAAAATCTAAATAACAGGTGTGAGAAGCACTCATTTCCACTGTACAAGGCAGTGCAATACCATCTCACATCTTTCTACAAGGAAACTGAATTTCCAGTTCAATTTTGCTTATAGGTTCTGTTTCTGGAGTGTTTCATCAATAAATACCTTCCCTCCCCAGCCCTCTCCTTACTGTGATTGTTAGTAATAAATTTATGTTGTGTTTCATTTCAGGTTGTCCAACAAAACTGAGCACCATTAATTGTCATTCTTGGAATAAGCAACAACATAATTTATCAATGTGGCAATAACAGTAATGTTTGTATTTCCCAGTCTTGAAACACTTGGATTGGAGATGACAGCATTATAATTGAAAATAATGGTAATTATCTGTCTGCAAACCTGTTTTGTTGCTACGCTCAATATCTTCTTTGAAACCAGTCATGAACTGAAGTCACCAAAAGCAACAATAAACTGAAAAGTCATTTTCCTAGAGATTGGTGCACTGCATCTGTTGTGTGGGAAATAACTCTCCTTTTTCTTTTGTTTGGGATTCCAAAATGGTCTGTGGATGGAGAATTTCAAATCAATACCATCAGGAAAAATCAGCTGCTTCTATTTGGCTGAATTTGAAATGTTATATGATAATATGAGTGTTTTTAATATATGGATCTATATGTATGTACACCTTGAGATCATTCATATGGAAACAAGACACCTGCTGTATCAAGATGAGAAGGGAACATCAACATAATCCTTTATGCTTCCCTAGTGAAAATTGCCAAATGTGTGTTGTCAAATGTGGGCACCATATTGAGTTGGGTGTGAGCTGAGCACTGCCTGAGCCCAAGGAACAGCATTTCCTCCTGGGAATTCTGTACCAGGGCAGGGCAGGGATGCTTTAGGCTGTGTTCGTGCACATTCCCCTTTTTATTGCTGGTTTCAGGTAATCCCCCCCTTTTGCTTTGCCAGGTGAGACACTGGCCCCAGCTCCAGCTGGGCAGGGGAACCACGGGGCAGCATCTCTGCAGAGCATCCCCACTGCAGCCAAGAACCAAATGAGAATTTTGGACCCTTGCAGCCTGGATTTGTGGCAGGAGCAGACAGGCAAGGGCTTTGAAGGTGACAGCTGCACTCAGGGAAGGACTCTGGGTGTCAGGGTGGGGTCCAGCACCAGCTCCTCACAGCCACTGACACCTTCTCCTTGGATCCTCATTTCACTGTAAGCTATTGAATCATTCCCTTATGAACTAGTTTCTGTTGTCCTTATTAACCAAGGATTAATTAATTATTAATTAAGCAACCCAGGCTACTTATTAATTCAACTTGTTAATTAAGTATAGGATACTAACGAGGCAGCTTGTTAATTGAGTTGTCAGAGTGAAGTGAGGATGGAGGGGAGGATTTTTTCCTGCCCAGTTCCTGTAGCAGAGCCAGGAATGTGGCTCCATGTGGGGACATTTGTCGTGAGAGCTTCCTGAGTGGGGTCAGGCAGTCACAGCTTTGGGAGAGCTTTATTTACATTTATTTCCTTTTACTGTCAGCCCAGAACAACCTTTCCAGAAGAGACTCCAGGAGCTGCAGCCCAATATTTCAGTGCTGTGTGCAGGACCAAGCAGGGTAAGCTTGGGGACAGGACCAGTGTACCCAGGGTACAGAGGCATGGAGGTGACCTGGAGCTGTGGGGGATGATGGATGGCAGTGGCCTCCTGCTTTCCCCAGTCTTAATGAGATGCACAAATGGGAATTTTGCTCCTTGAAATCCCTTTAGCCTAAGACAAGAAAGCTCTGCAATTTACAGACAACAAGGGCAAGAGCTCTCTGCTTTGCCAGAGCCTTTGCAGGGAGTGAGAGCCACACTGAAGCCACCTTGGGTCTGCCTCAGCTCTGCTTTTTTGTTTGCAGGATCCACTGAGGATGGAGCTGCTGTGAGGACAAACTCCAGCACTGAGGCTTTGTGGGACAGCCCCATCAGCATCTTGCTCTGCATTAGTGCCAGGTGGTCAGGACTGGGACAGTCATTTCAGGATGTTTTCTCTGGAAAGTTTGCTGATGGGCCATTTCTTGTTGCCAGCAAGACTCCAGCATCAGTGGTTTGTTCCACTGCAAATGCCATTCCCCAGGCGAGCTGAAAATAAAACCATTTCTAATCACTTCTGAAAGTTTCTGAAAAGAACTGGGGGAGGGGGAGAGCTAATGAGGAAAACACACAGCTTTAGAAACAGGAGAGCATTCCCTGAAGTCAACAGAATAAAAAAAAAATCTTTTTGAATATTCATTTCTACTGAGATTTTCTATCGCTATAATTAATTTGTCACAAATACCCTGACAAAGCATTTCTGGTGGAGTGATGAAGGCTACAGGCAGAGGTTTACTTAGTGTCTTTTGAAGGAAAATAACTAGCTATCAAATAACTTTAAACTCCTAAAGCTTTTCTGGCTTGATCCTGCTTTCATTAAAGAATGCTACTTGGCTTTGAAGACATTTGAAGCTTTTGAAAAATTGTTACATGGATTTATTTTTGGGTTATTCGGTCCCCTTCTGGTGTGTTGGTGTATTATTCACTTTGAGAGGCATCAGCTATTTGTTTTCTCTTCATGCAGAGGGACACAACAAAGCCTTTAAAGCACCCATGGAGCCATTCAGGCTCAGTCCTGGTTTCCCCCTTCCTTCCTGCACGAACTCGGGATCCTCTCCACCTTTACCCAAAATAAGATTTCTGACAGCAGCCCAATAACAAATCAATGCTGAATGTCTTGAATGACTGACAAGTACAGACTCTGCCTCCCCAGACTGGATCAGGATCCCTGCTGGACCAGCCAAGGTCGGTGTGGGGAATTAAACTCTTCAAGGTTTCCTCCTTTGTCCTTCTACCCCCAAATTCCTGCACAATGACGGGACATCCTTGCAACTGACTCAAAGAAGCAAAAATATTTGTGTGATGGGAGAAGGATGAGGCCTGATTCTGTAATCATTCCTCACCCCAAGGAGCACCTGTTCAATCAGATTGCTCATGTAAGGAAGCTCCACTGACGTGAGTAATCGTGGCACGTTCTGGCCCTGAGTTATTACATGAAACCGTCTCAGGCTGAGGAGAAAGCTGCATGACTCAGACCTAGCTTTAAAAAATAAAAGTTTTAAATCCCAAGTTAGGATGTGCCATTTGGCTCCTGCTGAAGTTGGTCTAAAAAGGCAGCACTGAATAATAAAAAAGATCAAGCTTTTGATGTTAAATTGCATGTTCAAGCATAAAATCCAGCCTTGATGATGAAGCTTAGCCTGGCTTATTTCACTCGGGCAAAGACACTAAACAAGAGCCTTACACTTTTTCTCACTTAGAGGAAATGTCTGTGCATTTAAAAAAAAAAAAGTTTTGACAGATAAGTAATTAGGAAACATCTGGCCAAACTGAAGGCAACAGAAGTGATTCCAGTCAGAGGTGGTTCAGTGAAAGCTTTTCATCTTGACTCCAACAGAAACGGCAAATTTAGCCCTTTAAAAAATTATATACATATATATATATAATTCCAGCTTCTGATGAAGTGTTAAAAAGTGAGAGAGCAAGAAGTGCTGAGACATCCACCCAGCCCAGGGCTGGAGGAGGAGGAAGAGAAGGGGGAGGAGGAAGAGCCCTGGCTGTGGCAGGATGAGGTGTGTGCCAAGGGCCTGGAGGCAGGTCAGGTGCTGGGACAGTGGCAGGGTGCTCTGGATGGAATTCCCAGGTGTTTTGAATGGATTTGGATGGAATTCCCAGGTGCTCTGGTTGGAATTCCCAGGTGGCTCCAGGGCTGCTGTGTCCCTGTGGATGCTGAGGTGCTCCTGCAGCACTGTGAAGTGAGGCTGGGGGTTCCCAGGACACCAGGACAGGAGAGGCTGGGGGTTCCCAGGACACCCAGGACAGGAGAGGCTCTGCCACTGGCTCTGTGTGAGTGGCTGAGGGTCACTGCTGTCCCTCGTCTCATCCCTCCCTCTCAAAGCTCCGTGGGAGCCGTGCACAGAGTGGTGACATATCCTCACTGGGGATTGGGGGTGAGGGATGCTCCCCTTCAGTTTCCACTCTGCAGCGTGTTTTGAAGTGCTTTGCCCACTTTTAGTGAATGCTGGTGGTTTGGAGGCTCCATTAAAGTAAATCCCAGGATTCTGTGGGTGCTTCCTCACCCAGCTGGGAGGACTTTAGTGAGCTCCCTCAGGGGTGATGTGCTCCCATGGCGTTCTGGCTGCCAAGTGCCTGCTGGAAATATTCCTCCAGGCTGCTTTCAATTTCAAACCAACTTCATTCTGAGTTTTTGGGAAAGGTTTTAGATATTTCCTTTTCATCAAGCTGGTAGATTTAAACATCCTGTCCAACCTTTTCAGCCCCCGTGGCCCTTCTTGTGCTGCTCGCTGGTAGATTTAAACATCCTGTCCAACCTCTTCAGACCCTTCTTGTGCTGCTTACATGTGAGCAGGGCTGAGCAGGACAGCCACCTCCCCTCTTTGCAGCACTCAGAATCAAACCCTGCTGCTGCTTTAAGCTGCCCATTTTTATAACTTTAACACACCAGACCAAAAGCCCAGAGCAGAAGTTGCTGCTCAGCACCCAGCTGCAGCCCTGAGCTCTGCCAGGCAGGGCAGGGGGGCAGCAGGGACAGGAGTGGCAGAGCTCTGGCATGTCCCTTTGCTGTCCTGCCCAGAGGGAAGGAGAGGAAGGAGAGGGTCCTTGATCCTTGCTCCAGCACAGCAGACATTTCAGGATGCTTCTTGCACAGCTGGAAATCACAGCAAGAGCTGGAAATCATGGGAGGTTTGGCAGGATTCAGAGGGAAAGAGGGAGCAGTTAAATCACTTGGGAAGGGTGATTTGGAGGCATTTGGAGGGGCCCGGGCTCAGCGTGGTCCTGCTCTGCCCAGCCCCCAGCAGGGCACCCACAGCTCCTGCTCTTTGTTCCACAGCCTGTCCCCATCACAGACAGCTGGAATACCTTCCAACTGGGATGGAATTATTGTTGAGTAAGGAAATATGTGCTCTGTAACCTCACTGCAAAAAAACCTCTGTAAGGCACGAACAGGAAGTGTACAATATATTCCTTTCCAAATTAATTGCTATTATTCTGATTAAAACACATTATCATATAAATATTTGATTAAGAATGTGATTAAATCTTTCTTGCTCATGAACTGTGACAACTTTAAAGTCTAACCTTTTATAGCTTGGCATCACATCATTATTTTTCTCATTAGCTACATTTAATAATTCGATCTCATAATATGCTTTGCCATTTGGAACCTTCCTTTGTGTGCCAAGTTCAAATCAATGCTGTTAGTTATTTGTGCCACTGCAGATAATTAAACTGAAATTAACAGCAATTTCACCCTGCAGTCTGGCTGTGGGTAGAGGAGCTTTGGAGAAGGGGGGCAGATCACAGGGCACAGGTCAGAGGGGTTCCTCTGCCAGCGTGGTGTGCTGAGCTGGCCAGGAGCAGTGAGGGGAAGTGGAGGTGTCTCCTAGGGGCTGCAGTAATTCAGAAAGTCCCTTTCACCAGGTGAAGCCTCTGGGCATCACAGAGTGAGCAAACTTGCTGTGGACCCTTAAGAATGATGTGAGAGGGTAAAGTGGGGTAAAGTGAGGGGTCTTGGGTGTGTGGGGAGGAGAGCCAGAGGAGCTCTCCCTGAGGCAGTCAAGGAGCACTCTGAGCAGAGCAGGGTCCCCTCTCCAGGACACACATCCCTGGGATGCAGGTGCTGCCTGGCTCCTTCCCCTGGCTCGGGGCTGTTCCTTTGGGGAGCTCCGTGTGCTGCAGCCTCCCCTTCCCTCAGCAGGATCAGCCCTCACAGGCTGTCTGGATGCCTGTGTCTCTCCCAGCTCGCTGCAAACAGCCAGAGCCCGCTTTCCTAATTTAAACCTCACACAAAAGCTTGCCTTACATGGTCACCCATGCTATTTTTAGCTCCGCCAATTAATCCAGCTCCGTTTGAGCTGGATTAGAGATCACATACCCCCTTAATTATAGGTGTATAAACTCCAGACTGGCAGCTGTTTTGACATTCTCAGCTGGGAAATCTGCCCCAAACAGCCGTGCCCTCCCTGGCGTGGCAGGATCGAGGCTGGGCCCTGCCTTGGTGCCCATCTGCTGCCGTGGCACCGCGCCTGCTTGGCCGCCTGCCCTGGGCACAGGTGCCAGGCTCAGTGAGCTGCCAGGGGCACCCTCCCTCCTCCTTCTTCTTTTTTTTTATATTTTTTTATTTTTCCCCCCCTCTGTAGGAAATTCTCCCGGCTCCCCAGGGTTTTTCCTCCCACTGAGGACATCTGCCAGGAAGGAGAAGGAGCCCGTGGTAATGCCCTTCCAAGGTGGGGTCACCATGGGGGGCTCTGGATGTGCCTGCCCCACACCATGGGCAACGGGGGCAGCTCCTGGCACTGCCAGAACGGAGCCTCTGTGCAGGGATGCTGGCCTGGCACGGCCTGAGCTCCCACACCCAGAGTGCCAGCCCATGAGGGGCTGCCCATGGCACTGCTCCGTGCCCTTGGCACTGCCCTGTGCCCATGGCACTGCTCTGTGTCCGTGGCACTGCCCTGTGCCCATGGCACTGC